ACACACAGACACACACAGACACACACAGACACACACAGACACACACAGACACACACACACACACACACACACACACACACACACTGCTATCGCTGTGTACACTAGCATTCTAACCAGGCACTATAAACAGTGTTATTTACGGAGAGGGCTTACTCAATGATAACAAGCCTTCATCCCTTTGTCCTTGGCTGAATATGAAAATAGAACGTGATCCAGATTGACCCGTTTAATGTAAAGGGTTATCTGTAAGGGAGCGAGGATCAAAGCAACTGCGACGCACTTACATTCTACTTAGAACGAGCGATGTGACAGCACGGAAAGTCTAGACTCCAGCTTTATCCTGCTCTATCGTCTCCTAATCTAACCCTAACTATATTATCCTATCCTAACCCTTGAAGTTTATTAGGTCAATGTCAAGGTCTATCTTAGCTTACCCTCTGCTAACCTAATCGTAACATTATCGTATCATATCCTATTCTATTTTATTTATTTCCCATTCCATCCCATCTCATTCAATCTCATCTCATCCTGTTCCTCCGTGACAGGGCGCGCATCCGTGTGTGCTACTAGGCTGTCAGCGCACGTGTGGCGACAATGGGCGGCACCGTAGCCAGCGCTCTCGCGCAGCTGCTGCAGTTTCTCGGTAGAAACATCGTCAGCGTCGTGTTGGTCGTCGTCACGGCTCTCGTGTCGTCGTACTACGTGAAGCGACCGCGTGGAACGCCGCCCGGACCCCGCGGCTGGCCCGTCGTTGGCTCCTTTGTCTCGCTGGCCGGCAAACATACGGGACGTTACCTCCAGCAGCTGAGTGAGCAGTACGGACCGATATTCAGCCTCTACATGGGACCGCAGGTTAGCAGAGTTACTTTGTACATCTATCTATATATCTATTTATCTATCTATCTATCAATCTCTCTCACTATTTATCCTTCATCTATTTAGCAATTAATTCATTTCTCTATCTATCCATTTATCTATATCACTATCCATCTACCCATCAATCTATCTATCTATCTATCCCTCTATTAACCCATTCACCTATTCATCTATCCATCTATCCATCTATCCATCTATCCATCTATCCATCTATCCATCTATTCATCTATAAATCTATCCATCTATCCATCTATCTATCTATCCATCTATTTATCTATCCATCTATCCGTATATACGTCTATCCATCTATCCATCTATCCATCGATCCATCTATCCATCTATCCATCTATCCATCTATCCATCTATCAAATAGCGCATAAGCACATAAAACGTCAATTGTTAATTTGTTATTATGATGATATTATTTTATTTTATTTAATACTAATTAAAACATGGTAATTAAATTAATGTAATAACTATTTTGCCTATTTCCGTGGTGATTTCCTGCATTAAACCTAACGAGAAAAAATCATTACAAATTGCAAGATAGTTCAATTACGCATTTTAACGTTTCTCACACAAATTAAATTGCTGCCTCAATTTAATCAGTTTGAGTTGAAAAATGAAAGTTTAATTGCCACCAAACTTAAAGAGAAAACATTACTAATAATTACAAAATTATTGAATTTCGCTTTCTAATGTTTCGTACACAAATTTGTACTACAATCATGAATATAATGAAGTGTAATCACGTATTTTAATCAAGTGGGTAAATACTACGACTACAGTAGTTTGAATTGAAAGATTTAGATCAGTTTTATTTGCACTAAACCTAAAGAAAGAATATTATTTCTAATTGCAGGATTATTGAAGTGCGCCCCTGACATTTCTCACACAAATTAAATTGCTGCTACAATTTAATCGGCAAAATATCTCCTTAACGCCTTCTAACAAAAGCTTTATGACACGTTTTAATCTCAAGTACCACGTGCAGGATAACGAAATTTATTCACAGGTTTTTTTAATTAGAGGTAAAACGTTGGATACATCAATTTAATCACAGGTTAATTTTTATGATAACACAGTTTAATCACAAGTTAAGGTAAAAACGTTAGGTAACGCAGTTTAGTTACAGGTTAAAACGTAAGATAATGCAGTTTTATAGCAAGCGTTTCACCACACGCGTTTATCACTCGTACGACGTTTTTTTTTTTTAAACGTTGCGAGTTTTTATGAAATTATTGTGGATTACTGTCGCGCGACGAAATGTAACAGATACGGATTTGCCATCCAGGTGGCGCCTAAGGTTCCGTTCATAGACGGATCGGTAACGCCATCTGGTAGCCTGATGTGAAAGTTCTGCAGAATGCCTGTGAAGAATATGAACAGCTCCACTCGCGCGAGAGCCTCTCCTAGACAGACGCGACGACCTGTCGGCAAATAACAAACGCCATCATCAGGGAGGTTTTTTCAAAGCTTGGCTGGTGGAGAAAGAGGGTAGTCTTGGCGTGCCAGGGCTAAAGTTATTCCGTGATCTTAAAATGCATTCGCGGCCTTTTTCGAGAAATCGTTTCATAAAAGATA